AGAGTTTTTTGCTATAGCGTGCGTGCACTCACCAGAAAGACAGAGAGAGAGAGACAGAGAGACAGAAAGCGAGAAATCACCCTCCGGGGTGGGTGGCCACACCACACTCCCTTCTCCATTCTCTTCTCGGGATCTTGGGCACACACGCGCACACACCCAGCATGAGTTTTAAGCCACCGAGTCTGGGACTCGAACCGTGGTCGACTACATGGGAGTGCAGTGACATAGCCATTATGCCAACTGCTGGCCCCCTGGCTTTTAGCCTCTTAGGCCCAACTGTTACTTTGTTCATTGTAGTACCATTTTCTTTTCTCCTAACATCCTACTTTCCCATAATTGTGGTGTCATTTGCCAAAGAATAAGGAAACGAATTATCCCAAGGGTTTAAGTGCCTGCTTCAACGTTAAATTTTATTACCCAGTCAGGTGGAGGTAAGTCCCATTCCAGACTGGTTATTGCCTGTCATTAAGTCATTAAACTCTAAAGAATGCAGCGAAGATAAAGAGGTCAGCCAGTCATCCCCGGTGATCTGAGGAAGCAGCTGATACATTGGGAGAGGACGTCTCCTCAAAGGGCCTTGCAATAATAGAATTCTTTCTCCCTTTCTTTATTTCTTTTTTTAAAGAATTATTTTATTGAATTTTATTTATTCATTTTAATTTGACCAGAGAGGGAGAGAGAAACTGAGAAAGCAAGCCACCAGGTCCAGGATGCAGACCACAGTCAGCCGTGTGGGAGTCCAACGCCCTTAACCACTACACCACCGGCTGCCCCACCCGCCCCCCGTTTTATTTTAGAGAGGTTTTCGTTATAAGGCATGTGTGCTCACCAGAGAGACAGAAAGGGAGAAATCACCCTCTCACCCCAGGGGATGGCCACACCACAATCCCTTTTCCACCAGTCTCCTCCCAGGATTTTTGAGTACACACGCACACGTGCCCGGCATGAGTTTTAAGCCACCAGGTCTGGGACTTGAACCACAGATGGTTCAAGTAACCATTACGCCATCTGCGGGTCACACAATATATTTCTTTCTTTCTTTCTTTCTTTTTTTTAATAATTATTTAATTTTATGTCTTCTTCAGT